GACTCTGATGAGAACAGGCCCAAGCAAATGTAGGGATTATAGGTCGAAAGTTAAGGATATCCCAAAGCCAGACTTTGAGAGGTGGCTTAAGCCCTGGTTTGCTTTCCCTGGAGGTATGAGCAGTAGGAACACCCCCAAACACGAGGGTGGCAGACTATAACCTGCCCCAAAGCCCAGAATAGGCCTCACCAGTGTGTATTAGCATGCACACATGCATGTGTGCATTTATGTATATGCATTAATGTGTATCTGTGCATATGTGTGCAGGTATGTGCATGTGTGTGTGTATGGAGGGGCAGGGAAGAGGTCCTAACAGAGGCCTTCTTTCTCTTCTGCAGGACCTGAGCTCCCTGCCCGTCTCTGTGATTGGCCCACTGACCCGGTCTGCCCTCCCAGAGACGCCAGTACCACACCCCACCTCCAGTCCCCTGAAAACTCTGTCTCCCAGCCCTGTCCACACACGTGTCCCCTGTTTACACTGCTGTCTCTCCTGTCATTTCCCAACGTTTTGCACACTAGGTGCTAACAGCCTCATGCCTGCTTTATTTGTTACTCAAAATATTTTCTTTGTTCATTTTGCTATAGGGTATGTGTGCTTACTAGAGAGAGACATACAGAGAGAGAAAGTAAGAAATCCAACCCCCCACCCCCGGGGATGGTCATACTGCAATCCCTTCTTCTCCAGTCTCCTTTCAGGATTCAGAACATGCACACACAAGCATCTGGCATGATTTTCAAGCTGGTGGGTCTGGGACTTGAACCACAGGGTCAGCCATGTGAGATCCAGCAGCCCTGACCTCCATGCCATCTGCTGGCCCTACTCAGTGCTTTCTTCTAACATTCCCTTGTTTTCTCCCTTCCTTCCTTGCAGTTAAAAGAAATAACAGGAGGCAGGACATGACAGTCTGTGAGGCTGCCCACATGCAAAGGGTCCTGGTTCGTAGCCCTAAACATGCCGTATGTGCCCATAATCCAGGGCTGCCTAAGGCTGGGGATGGAGAGCAACATCAAGACCCAGATGGGGGAGTTCCCCCCTTTGCTCATGGAAGAAATACACTTTTTTAAAACTGGGAATAAAAAAAAGAAATAACAACAGATCAAAGTTAACTGTAGCCTCACAATCCCTTATCCGCAATTCTGAAATCCAAAAAGCCTGAAAAAGATTTCTCATAATGCCCCTGACAGCCAAGCCCACCCTCCAGGGATGGGCAGGTGTTTATAGCCTCCACCTCACTCGGCATGACTATCCATACATTTCCCAGCAGAAGTACCGAGGTGTGAAATCCTGGGGCATGGTCCATAACCCACATACAACACCCGAGAAATTCACCAGGAGCGCATTCTTAAAGTCTAACACGTGTTAAATTCCAAATCATATCTGGCCCAAAGAATTTTGCATAAAGGGAGACAGACTTAAATTGAGTTGTTTTTCAAAAGTTAGTATGACGTGTGAGTCTGTGCACCTGAAACCACTGGTCCCGAAGAGAGCAGAGCCAGGGGCCCTGCTGCTTGGAATCCCTCGGGAGCATGTACTTTGCTGGTGCTCAGGACATGCTCACATGTACTGGGCACCACCTCTGCCAGGCCCACCCTACCTGAGCGGGGCTCGCTGCTTCTCCCAGCTTCGCAGCTCCTCGGCAGGCTTGGTCTCTGCTCTGGGTCTCGTGCTCTGCAGGTCTGAGCACAAAAGAATACCCGATGACTTGCTGGCTCCCGGCCCTGTCCACATGGCTCTGGGCACATGCCCCTTGGAAATTGCCCCGAGTAGCTTTACAAGTGCTCTGTGGAAGGGTCTCTGATCCAGGGTCTGGTTCCACTTACCTTCTCCCCCAGACTCCTGAGCTGGCCTTCAAGGCTCTCCCCACCACCAGCCACCCACCCCACAACACAAGCTTTGGCCTACCTGCCAAGCTTGGGCCCAACCTCCATGGTTCTGCTTATACAGGGCGTCCCCTCGGAGTCCCTTCCTTTCCTCCCAATCCTACTCCTTCTGGGATCTGCCAGAACCCCATCCTCAGAGCAGGTCCAGTGAAAGTACCCAGGGCTCCCTGCTCCTCCCCTTGACCCTTCTAGAGAAATGGGAGTGATCTGTCTCCTGGCCCTGGCCGCTGCTCTTCCTCACCAGTGGGATTGAGAAGGACGCTCCTCTTGCCCTGGCTCCCGTCGGGGGCCACGGTGAGCTTCACTCGCAGCGTTTTGCTGGACGTTGGGGAGTGGTTGACAGAGGAGTCGACTACCTCATAGATGGTGTGCAGCAAGCTGGTGATGTCCTGCAGGAAAGAGGGGCGGGAACCCTGTGGCTTCAGGCATACGGTGTGTAAAACAGAGCACGCAGAGGCCTGGGTGTCACACAGGTGCCGAATGAGCCCCTCTGGCTCCCCAAAGCAGGGCCTAGGGCTTGGATGTAGGGGCTCCTTTGGGAAGAGATCCCAGGAAGCAAGAGTGAGAGACTGGAGAATAAAAAAGGGAAACCCATAAAGAAAACTGAACAAGCAGGTTACAGCCTGGGCAATGGGCTCAGCCCCACTGGGCCCTCTGAGGGACCCTGTGGAAGGCATAAGTTGGTCATTTTTCCTCCACAATTTTTTTTTTTTTTGAGAGGTCGCGTGCACTCGCCAGAAAGACAGAGAGAGACAGAGAGAGACAGAAAGCGAGAAATCACTCCCCAGGGGAGATGGCCACACCGCAATCCCTTCTCCTCCATTCTCCTCTCAGGATCTTGGGCATGCACATGTGCCCAGTGTGAGTTTAAGCCACCGGGTCTGGGACTCGAATCACGGTCAACTACATGGGAGTCCAGCATAATAGCCATTACGCCAACTGCTGGTCCCCTCCGCCACAATTTTGATGATACGTGCCCACATCTAGCCTTTACCATTCTGGGTTTCCATTATTCCTTTGAAATCAGGCAGCTCAAGTCCATTAAGTATTTGCATCCACAATCATCTTCCATTTTTCTTTGACCAGTGCGTGTGCCCTATGGCAAAAACCATAGGAGTAGGTCTAAAGGAGACCTACTCTTCGTAGAGATTATCATCAATGAATCACCTCAGCGAAATTAACAAGAGTTCAATATATTCAACAGAGAATCCAGGTCAGTGCATCACAGTGAGCAGGTCCAGAATCCAAACCATGGTCAGCCATGTGGGAGTCCAGCGCCTTAACCACCATGCCACCTGCTGGCCCCCATTTCCGCTGTTTTAAGTCATTCCATCTGTGATGCTTTGTTAAGGCAGTCCTAGCAGATGCAAGCATTCAGATGGGAGAAGGGCCCCAAGGGGGCTAGACCCCTTCAAGGGCTGAGCTAGGTCCCAGCACCAGAGAAAGCCCCTAGTCCACCATAGCAACAAGTGAACTGAGAGGTGAGCCCAGAGAATGGGGATGGAGAGGCCTGCAACGGGCTGTTCTAGGCCTGATGAGCACCTTCTGAACAAGAAAGGAAAACAGAGTTGAATCCCGCTCCCCGACCCCGTGTTAAAGTCCTAACCCACAGTGTGACTGCACTTGGAGGAAGAAGGTGGTTAGGTTAAATGAGGCCATAAGGGTGGGGCCCTCATCTGACAGGGCTCAGGCTCTCTCACGAGAGCTCCCTCTCTACCATGCGAACTCACAGCGAGAATACAGCCATTTATAAGCCAAGAAGAAAGTCCTCACTGGGGACCCTACTGACCAGCCCCTGGACCTTAGACTTCCAGCCTCCAAGACTATGAAAATATAAACTTTTTTTTTTAAGAGGTATTTTGCTATATGGCATGTACACTTGCCAGAGAGACAGAAAGTGAAAAATCATCCTCCAGGAGGATGGCCATGCAGCAATCCCTTCTTCGTTCTCCTCTCAGGATTTGGGGCAACCATGCACATACACCTGCTGTGAGTTTTAAGTCACTGGTCCTAAGTCACTGGGGTCCAGGACTCGAACTGCCGTCAACTACATGGGAATCTAACGATGTAACCATTATGCCATCTGCTGGCCCTACTAATTTACTTTTTTTTTTTTTAGGTTTTTGCTATAGGGCACGTGCGCTCATCAGACAGACAGAGACAGAGACAGAAAGCGAGAAATCACCCCCTCCAGGGGGGATGGCCACGCCGCAATCCCTTCTTCTCCATTTTCCTCTCAGGATCTTGGGCGCGCACGCACACACACCCAGTGTGAGTTTAAGCCACCGGGTCCGAGACTCGAACCGCGGTCAACTACGTGGGAGTCCAGCGATATAGCCATTACGCTAACTGCTGGTCACCCACTAATTTCATTTTTAATGGAACCCTTCGGGGGCGCAGCTAGCACATCTAAGGGGCAGACTGGAACAGCAGGTGCTTTCCCCCCGGGATCCAGGCTGCTGTGGCTCGCTCGCTCGCTCACTCGGTAATCCCAGCTCTTCCAGCAAGGCTTGCCATCTTTTCCTTCCCTAAATTCTCTGTCCAGCCAGGGCTGCTCACTCCCTCTCACCACCCTGAAAAGCCCATGAGGGGCTGTCATTATACAGATGAGGCCACCGAGGCCCACCAGCATCATCCTCCAATGTGTTTCCAGCAGGTCCTGGCTGACTAGGGGTCTAGGCACGAGCATGTCTGGGCAATTTCCACTTGGAAATTCACCCATCGCCTGCATGGGGCATGTGAGCACAGGCGGCATAAATATTCCCAGTGTGAACGAATGCCTGGAGGATGAACAGGTCCTTGTTTCCGAGTCATGAAGTCGGTTCAGGTGCTGACCCTGAGCTGTGGATGCAGTGAAGGGGAACCTGCCCGCCCTGGCACATGGGTCCGTGCATGCCAATGGCCGAGGGTAGGGCGGTGGGGATGGGGAGAGCATTTATAGCCAGACTTGGGGTGTGGCTTTGGGGCTAAAAATAGTCCAGGGGATACATCAGGGTCCTCCCTTCACCTGCACCCAACCTGCTGGCTCCGCAGTAGGAGGAAGACATGACCCAGTGCACACCTTCTCCAGGGCAGGATGGGGCCCCTTTCCTCGGAAAACCCCACGTCCTCGCTCTCTTCCTTCCTCTCGTTACCAAAGCAGTAAAGGACTCAGATCCAGATCCAGAAGACGTTTCTGCCCCAGGGCTCTGCAAGGTCACCCATGTGGGGGACAACCCTCTGTGGTCAGCTCGTGAGGACCCTCAGCATCTCCAAACCCCAAAGGAATGAACAGGGGCCAGTTGCCTTCACTGCTGCAGGTACATCTAATGAAGGAAGGAGATGCCACTGCATGTTCGAGAAGCCCAGCCTAGTGTCAGAATGCTCAGGATTTGGTTCTGGAACTTCATTCTGGATTTGGGGGGTTGCCGAGAAGATGGGACACAGGCTAAAAAGGCCAGCAATCATCTTGCTACTACCAAAGCAAGAGCCTACCTGATAATAAAAGAACACACTAGCAACAAAGCCATGCAGAACACCCAGTTCTGAAGATACCGAGCTACTGTGTCCAGCCATGCCTGAAGTCAGCCCCCTAGGCCAACTTTAAATGATATGACCCATTGTATTCCATTTTTTTTTAAAAAAAGAATTGCTATTTAAATTTATTAGTATTATTTTAACTTGACCACAAAGAAAAAGAGAGAGAGACAGAGAGAGAAAGAGAGAGAGAGAAGGCAAGTCACCAGGTCCAGGTCTAGGACTTGAACTGCGGTCAGCCATGTACAAGTCCCACACCTTAACCGCCGTGCCACCTGCTGGCCCCCACCATATATTCTTTTTTTCCTTTTTCACTTATAGCAGTTTCTGCTGGGATACTGTCACTTACATGGCAGAGTCCCGAATGATTAAAAGTCAGCCATAGCTTTCTATTCCACCCTGCTGTAACATACCACAGCCTGAGGAGGAGGTGTCCTTTTTAACCCAGTCTTGCTCCTGGCAGCACAAAGGCAGACTTCTCCTGAACTATCACAGAGAAGACAACACTCCGCCCTGACCCAGGACAAGGAGATGAGCCAGCTAAGCTTCAGTGCCTCCCTGGGAACACCCCGAAGGCCAACGTGCTGGGCAAGAGGCAGGCCTGGAGCCTAGACCTGCTAAACTCAGCCCTTGTGTGTATGCTTGGGACCTCATCTGCAGCGAGCCCCATGCCTAAAGACAAGAGCCTCCCAGAAAACAGAGGGAAAGAAATGGGAAGGCAGAAGGAATGAAATCAATTTTCTGGTGGCTTCCACAATACCTGGAATTAAATCCTGGGGGCTTGCCAGAACCTTCAAGATCCCAGAGGACCAGCACTAGGACCCTGGCCATGCCTGTGTCTCTTCTAAGTGGCCGCCACACCTGTCTCCTTCAGCTCCATAAGGACCCTGAGCCCTCGCTCTCTCCCCTGCCTGGGACATCCTCCCCAGCTCTGCATGCTGCACTTGGCGTGACTCTGCTCCCACATGGCCTCCTCTTGGAGGCCCTTCCTGGCCGCCCTGGCCAATCTACTTATTTCTTTCACTGATCACATCTCAGCTTATAGCTGTCCTGTAATTGCTTGGTTTTGCCTCCCTCATCAGACTGTCAGGGCCACTCGGCGAGAAAGTGGGCTGTCTTGTGGCCTGCAGTGTCCTCACACCTAGTACAGAGTAGGTGCCCACAGATGGTGCCGGGTGTGCCAAGACACCGGCATGCAGAAAAGGCAAAGGAACTCGGGGGGGGGGGGGCGGGGCGGGGGGGGGGGGG